TTTCATATGCCATCTTTAAATATGGTTGACCTGTCAACTCTTGTAAATATTTGTTTATTTCTTTTTCAAGTATCTTTAATTGTATTATAGTTTTTTTTACCATCTCATACCAATATAGTTGTTTTATCTTTCTATGAATATCTGATGATATTTTTTTATTTCTTATATTATATTTGAAATCTAGATGTTGAAATAAATGTTCTGGAATTATATTAAAAATTGAATCTGTATCACTATAAATTATTATATAACCTTTTTGTTCTGCATATTGTATTATTCTTTTAAGATTTGAACGTGCAAATCCTGTAACCGAAGAAGAGACATATTTAAGATAAAATGGAGAATATCTATAACCAGTTTCACCATAAATAGAATTTGCAATTGTTTTGAGAGCATTTTGTAAAGAATTATAATAAGAATATTTTTGTTTATTTTTGGCTTTTTTCATATTTTTTTTTGCTATAGCCCAATCTACTAATAACATTTTAGATATCAATGGCATTAATCCCATTTTTGTTTTTTTGTTATTATGTTGTCTAAATTTACCATAAACTATTCCATTATCAATTATCACATTTAGATTTTCTTCTTGTGAATCAATATTCACACAAGTATTTAAAGAAATATTATTCGTGATTATGGTATTTGGATAATAAGATGTAAAATCTATATCAGCAACAGGGCGATTATTTGGATTTTTTCTTGGATTCAAAACCAAACCATCATTATATTTTTCTTCTATTATATCTCCTTTTCTACGTGAAAAAACTAACATATCATGTTTTGCTGCATTTCTTCTATAAAAATTTCTTACCAAACAACCAACACCATTTGTGAATACATTTGATATTGTGACACAAGTTAAAGTTGCAAATTGTATATAATCACCAATTATATTTTGTTTAATCATAAGCTCATGTAATCATATAGTATCAACTGAACAATAATATACTAATTCTACAGCATATTCTTCTAATATAAAAGGATCCTATATTATCATAGCTTCTTTACATTTTTTCACTGAGATTTTTGTTAGGTTTGATAATTGTTCTGCTAATCTTGTTAATAATTGAATATTATTCTTGAATTTAATCATGTTTATATAAACAAACATACAACGTAAATCTTCTGATAAATCTGGTATATATGGTAAATCTACTTTCCCTGATAATTCACAACATTTTAATACAACATCCAAGATATTTTTTATCTCAGTAGGAAATGTTTTTTTTGCTCAAACTAAAAGATCGATAAAAATTGTTCCTGGTAAATGATAATATTCACAGATCATTGTTTCAGTTAGATTTACTTTGATATTTCGATTAGAACTTTCAATTCTATAAATTTTTCTTTGCATCTTTTCATCAATATCTTTTTCATATACTTTTATCTTAGTCTCTCTAATATTGTTTATTATATCTTGTTCTAGTATTTGACTAATTTCTTTTTCAATATTTAATAAATGTATTTTTTTCAACATAAAATTCCAATCAAATCCTCCGGTATTGAATCCAATTTCAAAAGAAGGTAAATATTTCTTGATCAATTCAAA